CGTGAGGAGCTATTATGCACACAAAAACTCGTGCTCACAAATACACTAGCAACCATGCGCCTGTGTGTGCGTGCATGCATTCGTTGCTGCTGCAGTGCATTGCCATCAGATTTGCATGCCTWTCTCCAGTATCGCAATGCGGAAAATGCGGTCGAACGTGGCAGTAAGCTGCGTGTGAGTGCATCTCTGTATGTGTGCGTGATGATGTGTGTCTGTTTTATGGACTCTGTGTAGGCTGCGTTGTGCAAAAGCAAAAAGGATTCAACAACAAGGATACCGAAAACGACGGCGAGCGCGTACGGCGCATGGCATTTTGACAGTTGTGTCGCGGCAAAGAGCGTGAGAGCGCGAGCAAATGTGAGCGTAGTGGTGAGTGTAAGAGCGCGCGTGCAAAGTGAAATGTCAGAAATTAAGGCGTTTGCCCTTTGCAAGCTGACTAAATTTAACTGTGCGAATCCTGTTTTATCACTTGTTGTTGTAGAAATTGTTGTTTTTCTTTGGCTTGGGTTGCCATTATTCAATGCAGCTGTTATATTAGCGACAATTTCCCACACAACAAATATTATCAATTATTTTTTTGCTCTCGAACTTTATTAATAATCTATTTTTGTAGCACTTTGGCAGCTTTTCTGCTTGAGCTGTTGGTCGCCGACACTTAATTGATGTCAACTAATTGACATACTCCACTTTGTATGAGATTTTGCTTTTTATTAGAGTCTTGCCTAACCTCAACTGTCTGTTATGTGTATTTATGTATGGGTGTGTGCACTTTGGCGATTAATGTCAATAAGCGATTTTCCTCGATACGGACCAAAAAAAAAAATAAAAAAAAAATGATTGTGATAAAAACAACAAATAATGACAGTTATTTATAGATATACATATACATAAGTACGTATGGTATATGTATGTATATGAATTTTTATATACCATATGCCAATCAGAAAACGTTTGAGTGGTAAAGATAAACAAAAAAGAAAGCAGCCAAGAACATAAGCAGACTAGTATGCCACTAAGAAGAGCTAAAAGCAGAACAAAAATAAGTTGAAGTAATGAGATACCGAGCAGAAGACTGACAACAATGGGAAAAAGTAGCGGCAAGCGCGTTCTCCAGTTAATGATCGAGCAAAAATAATTGCATGAAACATTTTGTAAACATAAACCAACACCAAGCCACAACAACAATTGTAATAAGTAGACAACTGCTTCTAACATTGACTTCGCTTGCAGAGCGAATTCAAGTCTAAACTCTGTGAAGAAGTTAGAGAGAGATGACAATAGAGCACGTGCAGCACGCGGCATGTGGCAGCTGCCTGCGTTAGAGCAAGCTGTATGCGAACTTTAATTATTGGCGACTACTCTTTTATTACATTGTGTGTGTGTGTGTTGTTTTTTGTTCCGGGCTGCAGTATTACTGGTGCCAAACTGGTACTTTTCGTGCCCGGAGTTGACAGTTCTTTTTATTGATTTCTTCAAAGGTACACAAAAACCCACTGAAATTTTCGTGCAGCAGCCACAGCAGCAGCGACTGTTAGGCGACAGCGCCGGGGTCGGGCAGCGAGCATCAGAACTTTTATCAACAACAATAACAACAACAACGGTATCACTAACAAGGCAGGCATATTGCATGACCAGCCGTCTGCCAATTGCTGGCCACAAACAAAAACAACATTTAAATCGTCAACAACAACAAAAGCTATGCGCTGCATCACTGAACGCTGGTTACCAAGCGCCAATTGGGCGTGCAATCCCACAGGCTGCCGCACAAAATGCGAACTTTTTTCGTTGCTCTCATGCAGTGCGTGGGATGCGCGTTGCCGTTGCTATTGGAAATTTAACACTTGATTGCTTTACTTTATTAATAACAGTACATAGCGCGGTTTTTCATTCACTTTTCATTTATTTTAGGCGACTTTCTTTGATAACTTTTGCAGTTTGCTGCTTCACTGTGCTTCACTTAGCGACACTCTGCCCCACTGGCCGCAGACAGCACCGAAAGCAGCCAACAAAAGCATTCGCATACGCACAAACACACATGTAAACTTTTGTTGAAATCTGCATTTATTACCATTTGAATTGACTTTTGTTCTTCTATACCGTTATTGTGTTGCTCAGCTAATTTTCACATATCCATTCGGAGGCACTCTTTATTCACATAAATTGTGTGTGAATTTTAATGAAATTCTTTTCGCCTTTGTCTTCTAATGTGTACACTTTAATGTTTCACACTCATACGCGCACAACAACAACAACATAGGCACAAGCGTTGCTGTAGCGCACACTAACTTTGCTTCTCTCTGTGTTTGTGTGCGTGTGTGGGTCTCTCTGTGTCAGCTTCCTTAAATTGCTGGTTGTTGGGCGGCTGATTAAGCGCACGAGAAAAAAGTTGACTGCATGCACCTCCTGCTGCTTGTGTATCTGCACAACAACAATAGGCTCAGCAGCAACAACAACAATCTGCACTAAACTTCACTTTTCACCGTTAATTCACACACTTTTCGTGACTTTTCGCTGCTTTTCTGCACTTTATCACCGAATTAATGCAAAATTTGTCTCGAATTTTGCCTTTTCACATTCATCCAAATTGCGGATTTTACTCGATTCACTCGAATTTCGTGCACACAATGCGAAAAACGCCTTTGGGAAGAATTCATCCACGAATTCTATACACACAATCCAGTCCTCCGCACACAATTCTTCACTTCACTTCATACAATTCTTCGACGAAAAAAAAAAAAAACCGTTTCACTTCTCTTCGCTTCCTCGTTTTCGTATGCTATGTATGCGCTGCGCAGCATTTGTGAGGCACTAAACGAGTCACTCAGCGGCGAGTGTGTGCAGATACAATGTTGAGCGGTGACCGTAGTCAAGCAGTGCAGCGAAATCTACTGTGCGCTTAATTCGCCGCAATCGACAGTTATTTATTTGTTGCTCCAGTGCCTGTGCATAGTTGTTGCTATGTATCTCCTGTGCCGGCTTGTGACTCTCTCTCTCTCTGTGTATCTGTGTCTCGGCGTGTTAAGGTGAGAAGTCATGGGCGATAAATTCGCTCTCGCCGTGACTGGTCTCGGTTGTGTGTTGAGTTGATAACAAATTTGTCTGTTTACAAACTTAACGAAACGAGGCGAAACGTTTGCACTGCAGCAGCTGTGTTTAGTAGGCATAACGAATTTACTTTTGCTAAGCAGTTGAGATTTCAATAAGAAATAATATGTTTTGGAAATGATAAATACTAGCGGTACTTATTTGACTTGCTTCTTTCATCTCGTTTAGGTTTTGAAGGTTGCTTATAGTAATTATAGTGTAATATCACTCTAATTTTCACTATCTTTTGGCTTAAGCAGTGATAATTGATAAATGATCAAAAATTAAAAAAAAAACAA